CGATTAGCTGCGAGCAGCGCCTGGCAGGCGGCCCGGGCTGGGCGGCCCCTGGGGGTCCTGACAGCTGAGCGCAGCGGAGCGGGTGGCCAGGAGCAGTCCCTGCTGCTGCCGCCTCTCCGGGGGCCTGCTGGCTCTCCTCAGCCGCTCGAGGACCGTCACAGCTGTGAAGAAGCGAGCGACACGTTCCGTGGCCGAGAGCCACGTCCCCCTCGAAGAACAAAGAGGCGGGGACCACAGGCGGATGGTCCACAGAGCCAGTTTGTTTCTGAACCGAATGGCCTGTACAGGCGCCACCGGAGGGGGTCCAAGGACAGGGCTGCACGTTGGAGAGATGGATCCTTTACAGGGGGGAAGCTTCTAGAAGGAGGCCATTCTCCTGGGGTGGGGGTGGGGGTGGTAACTCAGACCAACGCTCTGTCTGGGACAATACTGAGAAGTTTCCTCAGCGGTGAGATGCATCTTTCCTGCTCTCCTCTTTCCCTTGCTGCTAGTACATATTAAACAATTAAGTTTCCCTTCTTACTGTGACGGTCACTGTCCTCCCATTGTTCATCGATTTGCTCGAGCGGGCCCAGTAACGTCTCCATCGTGAGACTTGTTGTTACTGTGTCTGGCATATCGAATACGTCACGGGGAGCTTGCCAGGCTTTGCTGTGCGGGCGAGATACTCTCGGTAGCTTGCCGGGCTCTCCGAGAGGGGTGGAGGAATTGAACCCGGGTCGGTAGGGTCAGCCACACGCAAGGCAAACGCCCTACTGCTGTGCTATCGCTCAGTTATTTGGATAAATGTTGTAAGAAATATAGATTCTAAAACTTAGTGCTCTCTTCTCTGGGGCCAATGGTTAAACGCTGGCTGGCTTTTACCGTAAATCTCAGACTAAGTCTTCAGGCCGGTTTAGCTTTTCCTACCCCATGCGGTCCTGTTTTTTAGGTCATTGTGGTTTGTATCAAGAGAGTGCTTTCTGCTTCCTAGACTGTCCCATATTAAAGCCGGAGTAGCTTTGCTGCGTGCCCCTTTCCATCTGGAGATCCCTCAGAGGGACCCAGCTTCGGGGGGGGGGGGTGGAGGGGGTGGTGTTAGGAACTATGGTGACCGCAGCCTGAGTGGAGTAATGATGACAGATACCCAGGAGTAGATATATTTCTGAATCGATTAACTCCCCAATCTTAGGAGCTTAGTATTAACAGTCTTTCTGTGTTGAAGCAAAGAACATTGTTTTATAGTAACATATAAGCAGGTTGGTTATAGGGGAAGAGAACAGCAAGTGATTCACTACGGATGCAAAGTTCAGAGTCACCGGAAGGTTGGACTTTATAAGTAACCAAGCCTGATTTGGAGAATCCAGTATCTAACAACAGGAGAAGTAAAGAAGTAAAACACTGGGGCTGGAGGGTAGGGCACAGCGGGTAGGGCATTTGCCTTGCACGCGGTCAACCCAGGTTCGATTCCCAGCATCCCATAGGGTCCCCTGGGCACCGCCAGGGGTCATTCCTGAGTGCACGAACCAGGAGTAACCCCTGTGCATTCCCGGTGTGACCCAAAAAGCAATAATAATAATAATAATAATCACGGTTACGGTCACGGTCCTCCCGTTGTTCATCAATTTGCTCGAGTGGGGCCCAGTAATGTCTCCATCATGAGACTTGTTGTTACTGTGTTTGGCGTATCAAAAACGTCACGGGTAACTTGCCAGGCTCTGCCGTGCAGGCGATAATAATAATAATAATAATAATAATAATAATAATAATAAGAAGAAGAAGAAGAAGAAGAAGAAGAAGAAGAAGAAGAGGAGGAGGAGGAGGAGGAGGAGGAAGAGGAAGAGGAAGAAGAAGAAGAAGAAGAAGAAGAAGAAGAAGAAGAAGAAGAAGAAGAAGAAGAAGAAGAAGAAGAAGGAGAAGAAGAAGAAGAAGAAGAAATAAAACACAGAGGAAAGGTTCGAGATAAACTCGGAGATTGGTGTGCTCGTGAGAGCACTGTCAGCTTCTCTGGGGGAGGAAAAGGAGCAATTCCCTAAGACACTTGGGGTTAATATCCAACAGGCAGCAGCCTCCGGGGTGCAGGGAGGCTTGGAGGAGCTGAGTTGGAGCTGAAATATGCAGAAGGGGAGCCAGGAGCCCCAAAGAGCTGGCCAGGGAATGTTCTGGACAGGAGGAGGTCAGCAGGGCCAAGGTCCAGAGGCATCACCCAGTTTCATGAGGAGAAAAGGAAGAAAATAAAGAACCCGAGCCCCAAGGGGGTTTGGGGTGCAGGAGGCTTTTTTGGGGGGGTTGGGGCTTTTTGGGCCACACCCAGCGATGCTCTGGGCTTACTCTTGGATTACTCAGTGATTACTCAGGAATCACCCCTGGTGGTGCTCGGGGAACCGTGTGGAGTGTCAGGGATCAAACTAGGGTCAGCCACGCGCAAGGCAAACGCCCTCCCTGCTGTGCCATGGCTCTGGTCCGCGTCTCGGCTCTGTCCTAGGTGGTCCCGAGGGCCGAGCAGGTTTCCAAGGAAAAACCCACCAGGTCTGATGTCTGAGCACAGAGCCTTCAGGTGGAGTGTATGTGTGGGAGGGACACAGTGATGACCGTGAGAAGGGCCACGAGAGACCTCATGCCACTCAGTGTCCTAGTCTGATCAGGGTCACCCCACGGGTGCTGAGCCCAGCGGGAACGGGGGGCCACTGTGCAGTGCTGGGAGCCCCTCAGGGTTGGCCACAATGGACAAGCGCTTCACCACTCCGACCCCTTCCCCAACCTCCACAGTCTGCCTTTGGCTTTGGGGGCCACACCTGGTGGTGCAATGCACTTACTCCTGGCTCTGTGCTCAGGGGTCACTCCCGGCAGTGCCTGGGGGACCGTACGGGGGTGCCGGTGATTCGAAGAAAAGCGACAGAAGCTGCCTTGGCCGGAGGGGCTGCAGGCTTGGCTGTTTGCTTGGGTTGCTGATTTCTTCGTATTGTTGTTTGGGGAGGTAGGGGGGTTGGCTTTGAGGTCACACCCAGCCATGCTCAGGGGTTCCTCCTGGCTCTGCACTCAGGAATCGCTCCTGGCAGTGCTCAGGGGACCCTAAGGGATGCTGGGAATCGAACCTGGGTCAGCCACGTGCAAAGCAAACACCCGCCCCGCCGTGCTATTGCTCTGGTGCCCTTCTTCATATTGTCTGTCTCGTGAACAGTCTTCACTTTGGAAGTCAGGAAAAGGCTTCACGTGCCGAACTGGCCCATGGTCTCTCAGTACTCGAGCCGGGAGCTGCAGGGGTGGCTGGTCCCACCCACACGTGTGGTGTTTGCAGCATCTGCAGGCCCCGCTGTGGAGCGCAGACGGTCACTCCCGGCAGTTGGCCAGCCAGGTCACCTGCGGGGACAGAGAAGCTGCTTTAGGCAGGGAACAGCAAGCATGTCGTTTTTGCTATCATTTTGCTGGGAGTCGTGACTCTCGGACCTGAAATTAATTTAGTTCAAGAAAGAAAAAGGCAGCTGAGAGGCACCAAAAAAGTACGACCAGCCACCTCCCAGCGTGGGCCTGGGGTGGTTCTCATTTCTTTGGTGCTGCTGCATACGTCCTAGGTTTTCTGTGATGACTGAATTGATCTAATATGGGAGGAAAGAGGTGATTTCATTGCACCCAAGGGAACAAATTGCTTTTATTTCATTACAGCGGAAGGTTTGGGGTTTTTTTCTCCCCTCTGGTTTTAATTTTTGGTATTTGAGCCACACCCTGTGATGCTCAGGGCTTGCTCCTGGCTCTGAGTTGAGAGATCGCTCTCGGCAGGGCTTGGGGGACCCGAGAGGGTGCTGGGAATCAAACTCAGGTCAGCCGCACACAAGGCCAGCGCCTTCCTTACCCACTGTACTGTCTCTCCAGCATATTAAACAGTTTGAATAAGGAAGCAGGATTAACCGTCTGCCATTGCAATAGACGATCTTGTTTGAGGACCGTGGGGTTCAGTGCTCAGAGGACCCTCTGGTGCTGGGCAGACCCCTGGTTCCTGACCTCCGGGCCAGCTCTCCATGTTTGGACCCTGGCCAGACAAGTGCTAACTCGAGTTCGTCACTGCGTGGGTGTTCATGAACTCCCAGGAACCTTGTACACCCCGAGGGAAGCAGAGCCAATAGGGAGAAACAGACCCAGTCACCCCCTTCAATTGCAAGAGAAATGGGCTGACCTGTGTCCACTGGCTGGTCATCAGCAACAGCACAGGGGGCTGGAGCAGTAGCACAGTGGGTAAGGCCCTTGATTCACACCCGGCCGACCCGGATTCAATCCCCAGAACCCCATAGGGTCCCCTGGGCTCTGCCAGGAATAATTCCTGAGCACAGAGCCAGGAGTAACCCCAGAGCATCGCCGGATGTGGCCCCAAAATCAACAAACAGAAAAGAGAGCTAAGGGTCAGTGTTCAATGAACCTTGTCCACACGCAGACCCTGGTCACCTCACCCCGGAGGCAGAGAATAGCATTACTTGGGGCCTGGAGCAATAGCACGATGGGTAGGGCATTTGCTTTGCACGTAGTCAACCCGGGTTCGATTCCCAGCATCCCATAGCGTCCCCCGAGCACCACCAGGAGTAATTCCTGAGTGCAGAGCCAGGAGGAACCCCTGTGCATCTCCGGGTGTGACTCAAAAAGAAAGAGAGAGAGAGAGAGAGAGAGAGAGAATATCAGTACTCCATGTCCCAGATAAGAAAACCGAGGCCCAGAGAGGATCATTAGTTTGCTCAAGGTCACACAGCTAAGAAGACAGGATTTCTTCTCAAGTTAAGCAGAGGTGGGCCCCTCTGCACCACACACTCCAGGCCTCAAAGTGTCCCCTGGGCCCCTCGCCCCGAGCGGCTGCTGCTCTCGGGATGTGGCCCTTCAGTGAGGCCCCGGAGGGACAGGGCACGTCCTGGGCAGGGGGGACGGGACTGGGGCAACCAGTATGCGGGGCGCCCCGCGACCGTCCTGGCCAGCACAGTGAGCCGGCTTCTCTCTCTTCTCTCTCTCCTCTCTCTCCTCCCCTCCGGCCGCCCCCACAGACGCTCCTGGCCAGGGCCCTGTACGACAACCAGGCCGATGGCCCCGACGAGCTGGCGTTCTGCAGAGGAGACCTCTTGGTGGTCGTCGCGCAGGACGTGGCCGGGGCCGAGGGCTGGTGGCAGTGTCTGCTGCACGGGCGGCCGGGCCTGGCCCCCGCCAACCGCCTGCGGGTCCTCCGCAACAGGCAGGCCCCGACAACGACGGCGGCAGAGGCAGCAGCAGGGCGACCCTGGGCCCGGTCCCTGGGAGGCTCAGAAGACACCGAGCACCCCTACCAGATACCAGCTGCAGGGCCTGTGTACGAGCCCATGAAGAGCTGGGTGGAGGGGCCACCACCCCCCTCGGCCCAAATGTCCGTGCCCCCCGGGCCCCTGGCACCAGGGAGCACTCCCGGCGGAGCTCAGGGGACCACCTGGAACGGCGGGGAGCGGACCCGGGTCGGTGCCAGAATCGTGCGTGAGCAGATGGGGAGGCTGACACAGCAGGTGAGCTGGTCTTGGGGGGCCGGGAGCCGCAGTGCGATGGTGTACAGGGCCAAAGTCTCCCTGTCCCCGGGGGGCCGCACTCTCCCTGCCTGCCCCCCTCTCCCCGCACCCCTGCACTCTCCCCGCTCCCCTTGGGGGGCGCATTCTCCTGACCCCCCCCCCCCCCAGCCCATCGGCTCCACCCAAAGGCCATGATCTCAGTATCCCACCGGGTTTCTGGACCGATGATGGATGACTCGACTGAACTCTGCTTTCTGGCCTCTCGTGGGCATGTCCTGGCCACACGGGGGGCCAGCAGTCAGCACCCCCCACAAAGGCAGCCAGTCACACAGGGGGCTTCACAAGCCCCTTCATAGAGGACATTGATGTGGATCCAGTCAGTCCTGCCTTCCCGGGAACTTCCCCCCCTTTATTTCTGCCCCAGTTCCATCTGCGGCTGCCCTGCTCCGTGGTGGCCCCCTCCTGGCCCCCAGCTCCCCCCCCCCATTTCTCTGTGCTTGGGGAGTTCCACTCCGCATGTGTGTCCAGCCCGTGCCCAGCCCTGGGAAGGACCCCGCGGCTGAGTCAGTCTGGTATTTTTCTCTTGGTCGTACTGGGCGCTGGACGCGGCCTCATCAGACTCACTCAGCCTCTCTCTGCTCCGAGCACCCTCTCAACACCCACATTCACACTCTCTCTGGGAGCAGGAGGCTTGGAGCCACCCCTGGCGGTGCTCAGGGACCCCCAATGTGCAGGGCACGAAGCAGAGCTGGCGCAGGTGACAAAGCACCCGGCCCTGCATTCATGCTCCTCTGGTTGATATTTTGTTTGTTTGGGGGTCACCCCCCGCTGTGCTCGGGGCTCCCTCCTGGCTCTGCACTCAGGAATCACTCCTGGCGGTGCTCAGGGGACCAAATAGGATGCCGGGGATCAAACCCAGGCCAGCTCCCTACCCACTGAGCTATCTCTCCAGTCCCCACATTCACGCTCTGTTGAAGTGGGACTTCCGGATCCCCGAGGTTACAGTTGGGTCCCTGAACCCAGAAGGAGAAATAGAACGGAGTAAGCCGGACTTCCCCCGGCCACTTCCCCTCGGCAGCCACTAGCTCGAGTCCGGTTTCACTTTTCATCCCAACTTCCCGAATAAATGATGCTAACCTGCCGTCCCACCAAGCCGGCCCCACCCACAAAGCACCGGGCACGGGACAGATTTGGTTTCGGTTTCAATTCAGAGTGCCAACCATTTCCCCATGAAGCTGCTCCCGAACCCACGAGTTCCATCGGGCTTTACCTGCTGGTCCTTAACCCTCCAGAACCAGCCCCCCACCCCACCGCTGAGCTGTTCCTGAGTAGACTGCCATCCCCTGCTGCCCACGTTTTCCAAGAACCAAAGGGACATTTCTAAAGACGCCTCCATCATCTAAAACCGCACAGGCGGAAAGTCCCCTGCACGGCCACAGGCGGGCCTTGGATCCGCAGTCCAAGAGGCGTTGCTCGAAGAGACCTGGGGTGTCCCCATATGTGGGGCGGGGAAGGAAGGGAGGGAGGGATGGGGGGAAGGGAGGGAGGGAGGGAGGGAGCGAGGGAGCGAGGGAGGGATGGAGGGAGGGAGGGAGGAAGGAAGGAAGGAAGGAAGGTTGGTCAAAAGGATGGAGGGAGAGAGGGAGGGAGGGAGGAAAGAGGAAGGGAGGGAAGAAGAAGGAGGGAGGGAGGGAGGAAGGTTGAAAGGAAGGCTGGAGAGAGGGAGGGAGGGGGAAGGAGAGGAAGGAAGGGAGGGAGAAGAAGGGAGGGAGGAAGGAAGGAAGGAAGGAAGGAAGGAAGGAAGGAAGGAAGGAAGGAAGGAGGGAGGGAAGGCAGTTGGAGAGGGGCCCAACAGAGAAGTTGATGTGCCTGTGCCCTCTGTGTAGAGGGTGGAACACTCAGAGGGTGACCTGGGGGCTCCAGTTTCTCTGAGGCTCCCAGGCGCCCCTCTGGTCCTGACTTCTTGTTTGCGTGGGGGCCAAGGGTGCTCAGGGCTTCCTCCTGGGTCTGTGCTCAGGGATCACTCCTGGCAGGGTTCAGGGGTGCTGGGGGTGGAACCCGGGTTGGCTGCGTGCAAGGCGAGCGCTGCCCACTGTACTACCTCTCTGGCCCCTACTCCTGTCCTTCCTGGCTGGGGGGTTCCCCGGGAGTGAATGGAGCTGGGGGCGCACCCCACCTGCCCAGGTCACTCTGGAAACTCAAACTTGGTTCCCTGCTCTGCTGGCCGGCCTGGCCTTTGGGACCCTTGGGAGAAAGGGGGTGTCCAGCGCCCGACTCCTGCCTGGGGACCTGCCTCCCCGCCCCAGGCCATGCTGTCACCCCAGAGGACCCCATAGACCTCCCTGCTTGCCCTGTCGTTCAAGGTGGCACCCCACTGGGTTTTACAGATCCAGTACCAGAGAAGCCAGACCGGATGCGGCTGACACAGGTTTCGGGGGCCTGGGGGGCCGTCCAGGGCACTATTCCTCCCAGCCACAGAGGCAGTGGGGGCTGGTGACACGCGGCAGGGAGCGAGCGACCTTGGCCGTGACCTTGGCCGTGACCTTCCTCATCTGTCCCTTCTCTTCAAGGTCCTCGTCACCATCCCCAGGCCCGCCAGGGCCTCGCTGCCGATGCTGACGTCCGAGGTGCCTGCCGGGGGTTGGAGGCTACAGGTGAGGCACGGCCCGGGGGCTCTGTGTGTGCCGCGGAGGTCGCCTGCCCCAGACTGCCCGACCCCACTTCGGGCTCTCGCCGGCAGCTGTACTCAGACCCGGCTTCATGCCTCGGCCTGGAGCCGACCCTGTTCAGGGTACAGTGTGACCTGCTGAATCTGAATAATTTTCAAATATCTGCTTTCGTGGCAAGGGGGTCTTCCAAGACTCGGTCGGGTGGTCTGAGACCTCCAAGGCCTGACCCCACCATGTTGGGCATGTGGGGTCAGCGCCTGGGAATGCAGTGCCTGGGAATGCAACGCCTGTGCCTGCCCCCCGCCCCACACACACACATCGAGATTCCTGCATGCCCCCCCCGGGATACTTGATTTGTAATAAATATTTTTTGCTTGATTGCTTTCTGGTTTAGGGGCTACACCCAGAGGTGCTCAGGGATTCCTCCTGGCGGGGCTTGGAGATGAACCTGGTGACCGCGTGCAGAGTAAATGCCCTACCCACTGTACTATCACTCCAGCCCTGTAATAGATTTTTTATTTTTTATTTTTTTTGCTTTTTGCTTTTTGGGTCACATCTTGCGATGCCCAGGGGTTCCTCCTGGCTCTGCACTTAGGAATTACTCCTGGTGGTACTCGGCGGACCCTATGGGATGCTGGGAATTGAACCCGGGTTGGCCGCATGCAAGGCAAACGCCCTTCCAGCTTTGGTATTGCTCCAGCCCCTGTAATAGATGTTTTTATCCATGCATATGTACATAGTGTCTATATACACATATATATGAACATAGTTGAATATATACACACATAGGTGCTTCTTGGAAACACGGCTGAAGAGAGAGTACAGTGGTTAGGAAGCTTGCCTTGTTCACACCCAACCCAGTTCAATCCCCAGCACTCCACATGGTCCCCCCAAATCACCAGGAGTGATTCCTGAGCACAGATCCAGAGTAACCCCTGAGCATTGCTGAGCGTGGCCTAAAAACCTAAAAACCTAAAATTTCATTTTTTTTCATCATCCTGTTATTCGTCGATTGCCTCGAGCAGGCCCCAGTAACGTCTCTTTCATCCTAGCCCTGAGATTATATTCAAGGCTCTTTAGGAGAATGAGACCCATCAGTGTTACTGGTATTTGGCATATTTGGTACGCCACGGGGAGTTTGCCAGACTCTGCCCTGTGGGCAGGCTACTTTCGATAGCCTGCAAGTTTGTCCAAAGTAGAAATGAGATAATAAGATGTCATAAAATGATATCCTGATAAGATGTTCCGGGATCTGGATTTTATAGTCTCTGAGTCTTGGCCGCTGATGGGATTACACGGCGCCAGGGGGCCAGGTGGTGGGTGTGACCCCCGCCTACTGGAATTTGGAGGATCTGGGTGGAAGATGCTCGACTCCAATCCGAGTAGGCTTGGAGGTCTCGGCCCTGGAACCCGCGTGGCTTTGTCCCTCTGCCAGTACCTTCATGTGTACTAACCTAAAAAAAAAAAAAAAAAAAGGGCTGAAGATACAGATAGTGCAGGCATTTCGGTGCCTTGCTTTGTAGGTGGCCGACCCCAGTTTCATCCTTGGCACCACCTCTGGTTCCCCCAGACCCGCCAGGAGAGATCTCTAAGCACACAGAGCCCAGAGAACTTTCCAGGGTGGCCCCACAACCCCCAAACTTGAAATAATATCTATGGGCTAGACATCCACAGTCTAAACACTATCACTGATTTTATTGTTTTAGGCCACATCTGGCCGTGCTCAAGGCTTACTCCTGAGTATAGAGCCAGAAGTAGGGGCTGGAGCAACAGCACAGCGGGGAGGGCGTTAGCCTTGCACATGGCCGACCCGGGTTCAATCCCCGGCATCTCATGTGGTCCCCTGAGCACCGCCAGGAGTAATTTTTGAGTGCATGAGCCAGGAGAAACCCCTGAGCATCGCCGGGTGTGATCCCAAATGAAAAAAAAAAACACAGAGCCAGAAGTATCCCCTGAGTAACCTCTGGATATGGCCCACCACACACACACACACACACACACACACACACACACACACACACACCAAGAAAAAGACCAGAAGAAAGAAAAGCAGGTGTGGGAGGGGAGGGTCCGTGACCTGCCAGGGTCGAAAGGAAAGTGCAGCGGCCTCTGGTCTTTCCCAGGAACCAGCAGGGCAGCGGCTCTACGACGTCCTCCCAAACCCCCAGAGGTCAGCCCCGGGTGCCCACCGCACAAACGTGAGTATGAACAGGGCCCGGCCCCGCGGCTCCCCAGGCGGACACCGTCTTTGCTGATCTGCACCGGGAACAAGGTTGCCCAGGCACGCCTTAATCGCCGGGGTGCCGGCACGGTGGAGCAGTGGGCTGCGGGGACACCCCCGGCCTTCTCGGAGCCCGGGTCCGAGGGCAGCCCTATTGCGAGCAGAGGGCGCAGAAACGCTGCCCAAGCCCTGGGGAGGGAACGTGGCCCCGTGGGCACAGGACTTGACACGAGGCAGTGAGTCTGTCCAGCAGAGACAAATGGCCCCAGCCCAGAGTGTTGGGAGGGAGGAGCACGGGCCGGAGAGGTTGGAGGGGACTGACCAGAAGGGCCCAGCGCACCCAGGCGGGGTAGGCGCAGGGTGTGAGGACGCCCTGGAGGAAGTGCTCAGGCCTCCTAAGTGCAGGGAGTGGGAGAAAGGGAGTGCACAGAGGTGAGGATGTGACTCAGCGGCAAGTGCTCCCCCCCATTTGATCTCTGATGTGTCAAAGGAAAAAGAGGAAATAGGGTCAGAGCGATGGTGCCTTGCACGCAACCGACCCCGTTTTGATCCCCCGCATCCCATATAATCCTCCGAGCACAGAGTCAGGAGTCAGCCCTGAGCCCCTCCAAGTATGGGCCAAAATCCAAAGCCAAAGCCAAAGAAAGAAAAGGAAATCAAAATTAAGATTGGCATGGCAGAGAGAAAAAAGATGATTCCGTTTGGGCCGGTGAGATAGCACAGTGGTTAAGGCGCTTACCTGGCCTGCAGCTGACCCTTGTTGGATTCCTGGCATCAGAGAGGGTCCCCACATGTTGTTGTCCCACCACTGCCGGGAGTGAGTCCTGAGCACAGAGGCAGGAGTCATCCCTGAGTACAGAGACAGGAGTCATCCCTGAGTACAGAGGCAGGAGTCAGCCCTGAGCAAGAGGCAGGAATCAGCTCTGAGCACAGAGCCGGGAGTCAGCCCTGAGTACAGAGGCAGGAGCCAGCCCTGAGCACAGAGGCAGGAGTCAGCCCTGATCACCGAGCCGGGTGTCAGCCCTGAGCCCAGAGGCAGGAGCCAGCCCTGAGCACAGAGGCAGGAGTCAGCCCTGAGCACAGAGCCGGGAGTCAGCCCTGAGCACAGAGGCAGGAGTCAGCCCTGAGCACAGAGGCAGGAGTCATCCCTGAGCACACAGCTGGGAGTCAGCCCTGAGCACAGAGCTGGGAGTCAGCCCTGAGCACTACCAGTGTGGCCCCCGCTCTCCACCCCACAGAAGCAGGTGGGTGGGCTCCGACTGGGATGCGCTGGGGTCACTGGGTCGCTGGGGTCACTAGGGTCACAGGGATGACTCTGGAGCAAGGGAAGGGCTGGTGCAGCGAGACCACCAGCAGCTGCGTCTGTCCTAGGGGCCTCGCACCTCCCCCTGTGAGTGCTACACCGAGTGACCATGTGGCTCTTGGCAGGGGCAGACCGTTCCCCCAGCGCCGACGACCGTGCCGAGGCCAGGCCGCTACAGCACGCTGCCGAACCCCCCGAAACCCGAGTGGGCTTACGACATCCCAGGACCTCCTCAGCCCACCGGCGCCCGGAACCGCCCCGTCACCGCCTTGGCAGAGACAGCGGGGCCCCCCTCAGCCCCCCGGCACACGTCTAGTTTCCTGGGTCCCCTGAGTACCAAGGCCACGTCCCCGAGTCCCCACCTGCCCGAGAACGTGCCCCCGGCGAAGAACTTCGGGGAGCAGGGGACCCGCTACAGAGTACCGTCCAGCTTCCAGGCGCCCCGCGTGGAGGCTCAGAACACCCAGCCCAACATTTACGACCTGCCCAGATGCCAGGAGGGGTTCCTGCCCCCGGGCAGAGAGCCCAGGAAGACCCCAGGGGCATCGGAGAAGTGCCCGGAGCTCAATCCCACCTGGCCGGGCCCCGAGCCCGACAGGGCCTCAGTGTCCAGCTCGGACGGCAGGGCCAGCGTCACCTCCTCCTGCTCCTCCGTGTCCACCGACTCCTCGTCCGGCTGCGAGGACTCAGCCCGGGAGCTGCCCGGAGACCTGAGCTCGGCCAGGGAGGTGGTGACGGGCCTCCAGCAGCAGGTGACCGGCTCGGTGGCCGGCCTGATGCTCTTCGTCAGCCGGACGTGGAGGGTCCGAGACCACCTGGAAGCCAACATCGCTGCCATTCGCCGCGCGGCCGACGGCGTCGAGGCCGCCTTGGGAGAGTTCCTGGAGTTTGCCCAGGGGGTGCGTCAGGTGGCCGCCCGCCACCTCGCCGATGGCGTCCTGCAGGCCAGGATCAGGGACCAGGTCCAGACCATCTCCGACTCCTACCGGGTCCTGCAGGAGAGCAAGGGCGCCCTGGAGAGCTTCGACTGGTCCCTGGAGGTGCTGGCGACGGACAAGCTCCAGAACCATCCAGATGACCTGGAGAGGTTCATCGCGGCGGCACGGATGGTTCCGGAAGACATCAAGAGGTTCGCGTCCATGGTCATCGCCAATGGGCGGCTTCTCTTCGGCGAGCACAGTGAGAGGGAGGAGCCTGAGCCCTCGGCCCCCAGCGCAGGACAGAGGCTGGAGAATCTCGTCCTGCTCCTCCCCAGGGGAACGGAATCCCCCCCGAGGCGCGCCCCTTCCACCGAGCAAAGAACAGCGGTGCAGCCCCCCGAAATATGGAAGAAAAGGAGGCAGCCCAGCATCTGCCACCAGGTGAGTGCCCAACTCTGAGCCACGTGACAGACGGGGGCTTCCAAGGGCCGGGGCTGGGGAGGGCATTCAGAGGTCTGGAGCACTGTTTCATGAGCAAAGAGGGTTCCCAGTGTCATCCCAGGTGTGGCCCCAAATCCAACAGAACACAAACGGCCTGCATGCTCTCGGTAGCTGCAGACTTCCGTTAGCCAGAAAACCAAGTCACTGCAAGGGAAAAATCTAGGTGGGGTCTTTTCGGTTTTATTTTTGCTTTCTGGGTCACACCCGGCGATGCTCAGGGGTTCCTCCTGGCTCATGAATTCAGGAATTACTCCTGGCGGTGCTCGGGGGACCCTATAGGGTGCTGGGAACTGAACCCAGGTCAGCTGTGTGCAAGGCAAACGCCGTCCCCGCTGTGCTATCGCTCCAGCCCCTAGGCAGGGTCGTTCTAAGAAGTAAGATTCGAACCGATAACCAATAATCGACGGCCAAGGCCAAGAGGCCTCCTGGGAACTCAGGGGCTGGGCTCCAGCTCTGACACAGATGCTGGAACGGATTTTGAACGTGTTTCGAAACCTGTTCTTGGAGCCAATGCTGCAAATCTCGCCATGAGGAAACCTGGCACAGAGCTATCCAATTTGGTCACTCCCCCTGCCTTGGGGACCCAGGAAAGGGGAGTGGGAACACTTGGAAACGCTGGGAGGACTTAGCTGCCCCGCTCTGCCCCCTGCCACACCTGGGCACTGCCAGGAGCGGCCCCGAGAAAAGTAAACCAACTGACCAGTGGGGCCAGTCACTCTCAGGGCAGTCACGGAGGACTTTGTCCCACCAGAAGTTGTCGGACCTGGAGGAGGATGAAAAGCCAACCTCGAAGCAACAGCTGGAGGGGGACAGTGAGTTGGACACACAGGTGAGTGCCCGGCCCTCGGGACGCACGGGGGGGGGGGGCACCAGGGACCATCCACAGGAGACAGCCCCCCTCGGGGCTTCACTGAGCCCGTCACCTCCCAAGGGCCCCCCCTCCTCCCTTCCTCCAGACGCTGGGGATGCAGCCCCAGGGGTACTGCATTAAAGGTGAGGGAAGAACATTCCTTGGAAGCGAACGGACTTGTCAGCACAGCTGGTCCCTCCAGACCCGGGACCCCAGGGGTGTTGGTTGCCGCCCCTGTGACCTCACAAAGGGGGTTTTGGATGAGTGAATAGGCCTGGAAGAGGAAGGGATTCTGTGGCCCCCAAAATAAAATCCACAGAAGTAAAATTCGGAGGGGAAAAGTAAAGTCCGTCCTCTCTCCTCTCTCTCTCTCTCTCTCTCTCTCTCTCTCTCTCTCTCTCTCTCTCTCTCTCCCCCTTCCTACCTCCTGGTCTTTGCCTTGGGAGCCGCACCCAGCCTTGCTCAGGGCTTACTCCTAACTTTGTGCTCAGGGATCACTCCTGAGCCCAGGCAGTGCCAGGCATGGAACCCGGGTCAGCTGTGTGCAAGGCGACTGACTGCCTTCATCTCTGTACTTTTTCCCCGACCCCAGAAGGCTTGAGGGATCGGGGTGGAATGATTCGGAAGATGTTGGTGGTGGAAAGGTGTCATGGTGGGGGGGTTAGTGTTGGAATATGGAATCTAATAAATGATTGTGAACAACTTTATAATCATAAGATTAAATTTTTAAAAAACAGAACAGGGGCTGGAGTGATAGTACAGTGGGGAGGGCGTTTGCCTTGGACTCAGCCAATCCGGCTTCAATTTCCAGCATCCCATAGGGTCCCCTGAGCACTGCCAGGACTAATTTCTGAGTGCAGGGCCAGGAGTAACCCCTGTGCATCGCCAGGTGTGACCCAAAAAGCCAAAAAAAAAAAAATCAAACGAAGACCTCTAACCCCGCCCAGGGGACCCCTCCCCCAACCCAGTCGCCCTGGGACACACCTCTATCTCTCCCGATGTTTTTTTTCTTTTTGGGTCACACTCAGGGATGCTCAGGGGTTCCTCCTGCCTCTGCACTCAAGAATTACCCCTGGCGGGGCTCGGCGGATCATATGGGATGCTGGGAATCGAACCCAGGTCAGCCGCGTGCAAGGCAAACGCCCTCCCCGCTGTGCTATCGCTCCAGCCCCCAATTTGTTTTCCCTCCTCTCTCTCCCCAGCGTCCTGGCACTGTCCTCCCCGGGTCCCCGCGGCCACAGGATGCCCAGAAGAGGGTCCAGCTCTCGGAGCACTGCCGCCTCTACTTCGGGGCCCTGCTCAAGGCCGTCGGCGTGCTAGGGGGCAGCCTGCAGTCCGGCCAGCCCCCCGAGGTGTTCATCACGCAGAGTAAGCTGGTCATCATGGTGGGCCAGAAGCTGGTGGACACGCTCTGCCAGGAGACACAGGACCGCGACACGCGCAACGAGATCCTGGGGGGCAGCAGCCGGCTGTGCGGGCAGCTCCGGGACGTGGCGCTGGCCACCAAGCGTGCCGTGTTGCAACACCCCTGCAAGGCCGCCCGCGCCCACCTCCTGGCCCAGGCCCAGCTGCTGGAGCAGGCCACGCAGCAGTTCCGGGCCAGCCTGGAGTGAGGCTCTGCCCTGGGCCTCCCTCCCCTGCACGGGTGGAGCAGTGCCCGTCCCCAGGGCTCTCGGGACATGGATGTCGCACAGGGGTGTCAGCAAAGCCAGAACACCGGCTGCTCAGCGCGGGAAGTGATGTCCCAGAACCCCACGTCTGAGCTGGGCCGGGCGCCTTTCCCAAGTCCCTCCTTCTGTGTTTATTTATTGGAAACTTGCCACAATTCCTGTCCTAGGTGCCAGGTGGGTCGCGGAGGAGCCCACAGAGGCCGCGTCCTAGTGGGCAGAGAGGCGGCATGGCGGTGACCAGCTTCTGCCAGGTGCCAGGTGCCAGGGAGGAGACGGCAGGAGAGTCCATGGCCTGTGGCTACTGACCGCGGCTCCTCGACCTTACAACTGACGTCTGCATCTTGCACCCAAGCCGGGTCGTTTTCTTCTCATTTAACCCAGTCAGAGGTGCCGTGGCCCTTGGCAGCATCACGTGTTCTGTTGGGTTCACTCTTAATTTATTTTGTCCATTCTAAATAATTCTGTCCTGATAAATACAGTATGCACAAGCTAAAAAGATTTATGCTTCTTTTTTTTTGCTCATTTGTGTGACTTGCCACACGCCTCAGAAGGTGCTCAGGGAGTACTTCCTGTACTGGGGGTCTAGGGGATGCTCCCGGTGGTACTCAGGGGACTGGACTAGGGTCAGCCACTTGCAAGCCAAGCATCTTAAGGACCGTCCCATCAGAAAATAAAAAGGTTTAGATGGGGCTGGAGCAATAGCACAGCGGGGAGGGCGTTTGCTTTTGCACATGGCTCACCCAGGTCTGATTCCCAGCGTGCCAGATGGTTCCCCCTAGCACCGCCAGGAGTAATTCCTGAGTGCATGAGCCAGGAGTAACCCCTGTGCATCGCCAGGTGTGACCCAAAAAGATAAAAAAAAAAAAAAAAAGAAAAGGTTTAGACTTCCAAGTGGCTCTAATCTGTTACCCTTATCACGAAGATTTCACCAGGACCAGAAATATCCTTCGGAGCAATCTTTCCATTGGAAAAGCCTTTGATCCGGGTCACTGGGTTCAAAGCGAGAAACTCCGGGGTTTCCTTCTGTGATTCAGACGCCTCTGCAGAGGAGACTTTCAGCGCTCGTGCAAGAGCATCACCGCACAGGCAGGAAGTGTGCTCTGGGTGCCTGTGACTTGCCACACGCCTCCAAGCAGCAGAGATCCCCCAAGTCAAAGCACCTCTTCCTTTGCTGATAGGGCTCCTGTTGCCATGGTTACTTCATCCTCACTTCAAGCGCAGGCTCCTCCTCAGCCGCTAAAGACTTCTCCAGGCTAGAAGTCACCTGAGCTGGGGGCCTGGTTCAGCAGGGAGAGCCTTTGCCTAGCACACAGATGACCCCGGTTCCATCCCCAGCGTCTCATATGGTCCCCTGAGCACCGCCAGGTGTGGCCCGAAACCCAAAAATAAAAATAAAGGAAGTCACCTAAGTTGGCACCAGGCCTGGTTCCTACCTGCCTCTCAGCCTTCGGCACCCACTTGCAGCTGGTCAGGGATGGAGACTCGCGCGTCCTGGAGGGGCCGTCCCTGTGAAGCTGGGTCCTCGCTCCCTCCCTGTTTGAGCAGTTGTGGCCTGGATCAATCAATCAGCCAGGACTCCAGGACTCTTGTTAGCAGAGCGAGTTAAATTCTTTTTTTTTTTTTTTTGCTTTTTGGATCGGGGCTGAGCATCCTCCACCCAGATCCTCCATCTTCCAGTAGGCGGGGGTCACACCCACCAACTGCCCCCCAGCGCCGTGTAATCCCATCAACGGCCAAGACCCAAAGACTATAAAGCCCAGCTCCCAGAAGTGCACGGCTGCATCCGCGGCCGCGTGACATCTTACTATCTCATTCTTACTTTGGACAGCCTGGCAGGCTACCGAATGTAACCTGCCCACACGGCGGAGTCTGGCAAAATTCTCGTGGCGTACCCAATATGCCAAATACCAGTAACAATGATGGGTCTCATTCTCCTAACCCTGAAAGAGCCTTGAATGTGGCACTTTTTAAAATCTCAGGGCCAGGACGAAGGAGACGTTACTGGTGCCTGCTCGAGGCAATCGATGAACAACAGGATGATCGTGATCGTGGGTCACACCCAGCGATGCACAGGGGTTACTCCTGGCTTTGCACTCAGATATTACTCCTGGCAGTGCTCGAGAGACCCTATGGGACGCTGGGAATCAAACCCAGTGTGCAAGGCAAACGCCCTCCCGCTGTACTTTCGCTCCAGCCCCGAAAGCTAAATTCTTATCTGACCTTTTTTGGTTTTTTGCTTTTTCAGTTTGGTTTGATTTGGGGGCCACACTGGGGGGTGCTCAGGGCTGACTCCTGGTTCTGTGCTCAGGGATCAGTCCTGTCTGTGCTCTGGGGCACCATAGGCACACTGGGCTGGAACCCGGGTCTCCTGCATGCAAACATGTGCTCAGGCTCTGGGTTGTCTCCCTGGTCCTCTCTCTGATCTGCTGGAAGCAATACGGGAAGTCGCTGGCTCACTCAAGCGTCTGATACCATCCAGGGCAGCCCCACACCCCACTCAGTTTTTTTTTTCACTGAGCCCCAGATGGGGCTTGGTTTGGTTGTGGTCTTTGGCCACATCCCGCTGTACCCAGGGATCACTCCTAGCAGGGCTCTGGGGACAGTAGGGGGTGCCAGGGATCAAACCTGGGGCAGGTGCACGCAGGCAAGCGCCCTCCCCTCTGTACTCTGCTCCAGCCCTGGCCCAGATGTCCCCACTGGAGATGTCCAGAGCCTTAGTCTGGGCTGGCCCAAACCAGGGCAAGCTTTTGCTTCTGTGTATGTCCTTGATTCTGACTTGATTTTCCTGGGCTAGATCAGGGCTCGACCCAGGAAGGTTTTATAGTGAGAGAGATGCGGTGTTCCCAAGCTGAATCAGGCACACACACACACACACACACACACACACACACACAGTACACACAATATACACTCACAGCACACACAAAATATACTCACAGCAAACACACACACAATATGCACTCACAGAACAAACCATATACACTCACAGCACACACAAAATACACTCACAGCACAAACACACTATACACTCACAGCATATACAATATACCCTCACAGCACACACAAGATATATTCACAGCACACACACAATATACTCTCACAGCATACACACACTCTCCACTCAGCACACACACAATATACACTCACAGCACACACACACACACTGTACACTCACAGCATACACTCACACGTGTACATTCACACCACAAGCACACTCACAGCACACACAGTACACTCGGCACACATTCACATGTACACATTCGTACCACACACACACGCACAACACACACAGTGTACAGTCGCAACACACATTCAGATGCACACACATCACACATTCTCACAATAAACGCTCATAGCACACATTCACCTGTTCACAACACACACACACACACACACACTCCCAACACACAATATACACTCCCAACACCCAGACTCACGACAAAGACAGCCACACCAGCAGACACACACTTGGAGAGATCACAGGGTCTCAGGGTACACCAGGCCCCCCTCCAACCCCCAGAAATGAGGCTCAGGCCACACATGTACACCATCACCCAGTCCCTGACACAGCTCTCGGCCCCTGTCTTTGTCACACTCTGCAGCCCAGTGCTCCCGACAGGCCGAAGGGCCAGCCCCGCTCCCACCCAGAACAAGCTGTGAATGCCCAGGTCAGGGCCCTTTGACGTTGGCTGGGTCCCAGCAGGAGCCCCTGTCCAGTCAGTCATGTCCTGGGGTCGGAGCGGCTGCCGCCCGCGGCCAGTGAGTGTCCTCTGTCACGGCAGCAACAGTCCCTCGGTTCACCCCCACAGCCCAGGCTCTGTGCTCACACTCTGTGCTCACACTCGGTCCCTCACACAGTCACTGGTGAATGGACGCGTCCCTTCTGACCACGGAAGACCAAGGACAGAAAGCGCTGGTGTGGCCAAAGAGATCGGACAGCAGGTAAGACCTTGCCCGCCGTCCCCCTGGGTCAGTCCCCCGCACAGAGCCGGAAGCAAGCCCTGAGCACCGCCTGGCCTGGCCCTGGCCCCCACAGAAGCACTGGTTTCCAGCTGTGAAAACTGGGCAAAACTTGGCACAGGGATTAAGGCCAAATCCCCAAAGCCCACCATGGGTCACTCCTAAGGACATAGCCCGGAACAGCCCCTGAATCCGACTCCCTGCAGCCCCCAGAGCAAAACTAGCACTAGCACGGGCCTCCCGTTGTTCATCAATTTGCTTGAGCGGGTCCAGTCACATCTCCATTGTGAAACTTGTTGTTACTGTGTTTTGGCATATTGAATGCATCACGGGTAGCTTGCCAGGCTTTGCCGTACGGGCGGGATACTCTCGGTAGCTTGCCAGGCTCTCCGAGAGGGGCGGAGGAATCGAACTCGGGTCAACCAGGTAGGCCACGTGCAAGGCAAACGCCCTACCCACTGTGCTATCACTCCAGCCCAGAGGTAAAAGGTAAAGGTAAAGGCCCTCCCGTTGATCGTCGATTTGCTCGAGCGGGCCCAGTAACGTCTCCATTGGAGACTTTGTTGTTACTGTGTCTGGCATATCGAATACTCTCGGTAGCTTGCCGGGCTCTCCGAGAGGGGCGGAGGAATCGAACTCGGGTCAACCAGGTCGGCCACGTGCAAGGCAAACGCCCTGCCCACTGTGCTATCGCTCCAGCCCAGAGAGTCATGAAAATGTTGAGCTGAGCTGAGCCTCTCCTCTTCCTTCCCTTTCTTTATATTTCCACTGATTATTCAATAGATAACAGCTGCTGGAAACATTGTAAGTAGATGAAAATCACCTTCTTGGGTCCTGAGCGATAGTACAGTAGGGAGAACGCTTGCCTTGCATGTGGCCAGCCTGGTTCAATCCCCGGCATCCCATGCCCATGGAGAAGCAACTTGCCTCGCCCGCAACTGACCCGGGGTTGGTCCCGGCATCCCATAGGGTCTCCTGAGCACCACCAGGAGAGATTCCTGAGTGCAGAGCCAGGAGTCAGCGCTGAGCATCACGGGGTATGGCTCAAAAACACCAAAAGTGAGTCAAATCCCTTTCTCTTAGCAACTTTCTGCTCAGTAGTTTTGCTTGGGGTCCAGAGTTCTGTAAAGTTTCCTC